TCCAATAGTTTAAAAGTATCATTTTCTGTTATTTGCATTCTAGTTTTAGTTAACTTCAAAACCAACCAAACATTCGATTGCACTTAGATTAAGCATGTACTTGTATTCTCGGTGCTTTTAAATCCCTCAGAACTGGTTCGACAACTTACTTCCACTATACTATCATTTGACTTAGGAGCCTCAAAAACTCCTAACATCATTAATTTATCGAGTATTAATTTATAGAGGTTCTACTGTATTTTTAAAATTAGACATAAGATACTCTTAATTTCTCAAGTTGATAAAAAACTTCTCATTTCCATAGAAAACATCCTTATACTTTCATACTAATGTCTTGATGGGAATGTCATAATAAGATGAATAACAGAAAATACATATTTTTTAAAACAAATTTTGGCTATGTGTTATATACAATCTAAAACTGTCTAAATTGATTGGTATTACTAATAAATTTTATTTTTTTGATGTGGTATTACTATAAATTGTTGTAATTTGCAAAAGTATTACTATGAAGTAGGATATCTTAATTTAAAATTTTAAACTATATCTTGATCTCGCAACCGCGCAGATGTTCTTTTTCACTTTTGTAAACATATATATTTATTTCAACTCATTAGTGGTATAAAATTTTAGCGTTAACCATATATTTAAATGTTGAGATATCTATTTCGTTCATTATAAAATGTTGATATCACATGTATTTGTCGCTTTTTATTATATATATTTATATTAATGTATTTTGATTTAGTTATTAAAAATTAACATATACATCAAAGAACATATTTGAAAATTATTTTGTATCAAATTTACATTCAATTCTGACCCACCAACCTTCAAAGTCGTATTTCCTTTTATCAATATTTTTTCACGTTTATTCATTTTTTATCTTTGTATATACAAAATTCTAAGATATTTTAATTTTTGTACGTATCATATAGTTTGCAAATATTAAGTCGTTATGTCACCGTCTCATATTTTTAGCAAAAATATTTTATATTTATGAAAATAAAATTATAAATTTATCAATTTAATATAATTTATCATATCTAATTCAATATAATAATTTTATTTTAACATGAATTATTATTATTATTATAAATGGATAAAAATAAGATAATTTTTTTTATGTTTGATTGTATAAATGATAATTGAATATATATTAATGCATAATAATAGTTCATTGCTAATTACAATATTAGTTAAAGTATTTACATAAACTTTGTTTGAAAATTAAGATATTGTTAAACTACTTTTCTACAGATGTGTTAGAATTATACATATATATATATATATATATATAATGAAAGTATATCATGATTAAAATAGTTACAAATATTTGTTATTATTAGCTTTAAATTAAGATATACATGTTAATTTTTGTACATGTATTATATAGTTTGCAAATGTTAACTCATGTTACCAACACATGTATTTTGAACATAAATACTTCTGAAAATAAAATATATAATTTAATATAATTTATCGTATTTAGTTAAAACTTTGATTCTACATTTTATAAAATATATTAATGTTTGATTATTGTTTGATTTTGTTTTCTTTTCATATTTTTTCTGATTTTTGACCGAGTGAGAAACTCACGGTGCTCTTGATTTCCATCATGCTCCGTGGCAAAATTAAATGCAGTGTTTCGTCGTAGATCAAATTAAACAAGTTAATTTATTAAAAAGTAAGTTTTTTATTTTATTTTGTAAAAGCTTAAATAATATTAAGGGCTTGTTGGCTAACTAGCCATATTTCAATAATAAATTAGGTAAATGTCATTGATTTTGGCATAATGTAGTTTCTAACGTTTATGTCTCTAAGTGTCCAATTTTATCCTTTGTCTTTATAGGTATTAGGTAAATGTGACCAGTGGCGAATCTACGTTGTGTAAGAAGGAGACAGCTGCCTTACAAAAGTCTAGAAATAAATTTATTTTCGTAAGAATTAGCTAGTGTTTTGTAGAATAGATGGTTTCAGTCAAATGCTTGTATCCCCGCATGATTCAAATCCCCGCATGATTCAGTTAATCCATTATATTAATTGTTATTATGTAAATACTAAACACCCATAAAATATCTCACTTACAAAATCTAAACACTAATCAGTGATCTATAAACCCAAATAGAATTTACATAATATGCACAAATATCTCATACCATAATATACATAATATGTAACCATTATAGAAAGACGAGCAAACATACAAAATAGAATGGACTATTCAAAGACGAGATAGTATAGTACTACACATATAAAAAAATGGCTCAATGTCGAAGCATACAAACGGAGATAATCTGACATACAATGGAAAAAAATCATTACTGTTAAGATTTATGATAATAAAATCAAAAAATTATATATGAAATTTTAGAGTCAAGATATCAAATCAACAAAAAAGAATTTGTGTGAAGTGGAATAGACTTGGGTTGTTGGGAGGCGCCACTGGGGGGTTAACATCGTTGACTAGAAGCCAATTTAAGAAGCATGTTATACGAGAACAGATCCATTAGAGTAACACAACGACATAGATGTCATAAACGGGAGAGAAGTAGGCAGAGACGACGGATTTCTCAACTCTTTGACGGTAATCTTTCAACTAAGGTAACAAGAAAAGTAAAATGAATGTGGAAAAAGATAAGACACGATTTACAATTTTACGCTTAATAAAATTAAAATATTTATGTGCCTGCAGGTTTAACCGGTGGAGAAAAATGGTAAAACTGAATTATTATGTAAAATTGACGACATATATAGATTTGTTAGGGCAAATGGTCAGATAGTGAATTAGACTTTTTTGTGTGGCTATATTCTATAGAGCCTAATTTCCCTAAAGAGAATTTGCACTCTATAACTACAACAAAAATCAAAATTAGGTCAGTAGTCAAAATCCCCTTCTCTCTCTTCCTCCCTCTTCCTATCTCTCTCTTCCTTCTCTCTAAAAATCTAAAACTTTTTTTTATGGCTAACCCACAAATAAGCCCAATATTAAATATGGGTTATTTGTCAAATAACGTTTTGTACAAACAATAATAATAAGTATAAATAAATGACTAAAATCTACGGCCTCCTAAATAATAGAGAAGAGAAGATTTCATTCACCGCCCTTCTCAAAGGTCTCCACCTCTCTATCTTACTCTTAGGGTTTTTGATCGTTCTCTCTCGATCGCAAAATCTCTCCCGATCCTTCTGAATCGGTAATTTTCAAGGTTCCGCGAACCACTCTGTCTGATTAGGGTCTAAGATATCGTCTATCGCCCTAGTTTTCGAGTTTTTTTTTACGAGGGATCGGATTATTAGGGTTACGTCGGTCTATCTCGATTGCTTTGGTACTGTGTAGCGTCTCGATTGTTTTTTTCTTTAGTATATCTATTGATGCATATCACCATCTCGATTGTTTGATTCGGATTCTATAATGTGGATGTTGCTGTTGCCCTAAAGTTTCGATTTTTTCCTTGTTCTTGGCTATGCTTAGGTTCAGGGGAGCATTGAAGAGTCATATTTCAAGATGGAACGGAAGACGATTGATTTGGAGCAAGGATGGGACTATATGCAGACTGGTATCACTAAGCTGAAACGGATTCTTGAAGGATTGCCTGAGCCCCAATTCGACTCTGAGCAATACATGATGCTCTATACGTATGTTCTATTATAATCTTACAGGTGTTTGATTTGTTTGTAAGTGGTGATAATTGTTGAGGGGTTTGTGTGATTCTCTCAGGACTATCTACAACATGTGCACTCAGAAACCTCCTCATGATTACTCACAGCAGCTTTATGATAAGTATCGTGAAGCTTTTGAGGAGTATATTGACTCAACGGTGAGTTTGGTTCATCAGTTTTTTATAAAAAAAGTTTTGATCTTATGATCACTTTTTGGGGTTCTTACAGGCTCTACTGATTGTCTGAGTCTTGAAGTTTGTGAATGGGTTTAATATTGTCAATAAGTTGATCAAACCGGTTGATTCATTGATCTCTTGTTTTTCTGTGATCAGGTCTTACCTGCTTTAAGGGAGAAGCATGATGAGTACATGCTGCGGGAGCTGGTTAAGAGATGGTCTAACCATAAAATTATGGTTCGGTGGCTGTCCCGCTTCTTCTTCTATCTTGACCGTTACTTCATTGCTCGGAGATCACTTCCAGGGCTGAATGAAGTTGGCCTGACTTGCTTCCGTGACAGGGTTTGGCATTTATTCTTGTTATGTATGGCTTTCCAGTGCATCAAGAGTGTTCTAACTGTTTCTTGATTTTGTTTCTTCAGGTTTATAACGTGTTGCATTCCAAGGTCAAAGATGCTGTAATAGCACTTGTAAGTATGGTGTATAATGTACATTTATTTACAGCTCTTGTTTTTACCTTATTCAAGGTTTAACATTAGCTATTTTTATGTCAGATTGATAAAGAAAGGGAGGGCGAGCAGATTGATAGGGCTCTTCTGAAAAACGTATTAGATATCTATGTAGAGATTGGAATGGGACATATGGAAAGATACGAAGTGGATTTTGAAAGCTTCATGCTTTTAGATTCAGCTTCTTACTATTCTCGCAAAGCATCAAACTGGATCGAGGAAGATTCTTGCCCTGATTACATGCTGAAGGCAGGTTTCTAGATTGCGTTTTCATTCCCAACTAGTAATATGCATTTCTTAACTAGTCTGAAGAATTCTTGTTGACTTTCATGTTGCAGTCTGAAGAATGTCTTAAGAAGGAGAGGGAGAGAGTGGCTCATTACCTTCACTCAAGCAGCGAGCCAAAGCTGGTTGAGGTTAGTTATGATGATACATCATAGAGGACACTATGTCATTATGCATAGCATTCATTATACCTGCACTAACAGGAGCCATGATTTTGCACTTTTATTTGTAGAGACGTAATTTTTCAGACTCGGCTTTTGCAGAAAAGTATATATTAAATATTGATTGATATCTACTTGACTTGTATATTGATCTTTTGATGCAGAAAGTACAACATGAGCTGTTGGTAGTGTATGCAAATCAGCTTCTAGAAAAAGAGCACTCAGGGTGCCGTGCATTGCTGAGAGATGACAAGGTGGCGCAACTTTTTCTTTGTTTTTATTGTTAATTAGCTATTATTTCTGTTTCTGTCTTTGATGGAGTATCTGTGCTCTTTCAGGTTGATGATCTCTCCAGGATGTACAGGCTTTATCATAAAATTGCTAAAGGTTTAGAACCTGTTGCAAACATATTTAAGCAGGTTTCTTACCTATCTTTGTTATTCTCGTTTTGATTGGCGAAGTCGTTTCTTCGTTGTGTACACTCTGTTTAATACGGTTTTACATTAACTCCATCGTGTAATTTGTATATAGCATGTCACAGCCGAGGGTAACGCACTTGTCCAACAGGCCGAAGACACGGCCACTAACCAGGTTCATTAGTTCATACTGTTTGTTTTTTTTTTTATTCAGATTTTTTTTTCCGCTTTGCCTTTGATTGCTAAGATTTTTTTTTACTCCACAGGCTGCAAATACTGCTAGCGTCCAGGAACAGGTAAAAACGGTGTTAACTGTTTCTACTAGTGAAGATGTTCTGGAATTCAGTAATTGACGTTTTATTTATTTGCTTTCAGGTTCTCATCAGAAAAGTGATTGAACTACATGATAAATACATGGTCTATGTCGTTGAGTGCTTCCAGAACCACACCCTCTTCCACAAGGTTTTAATGTGCATTCTGCATAGTTGTCATACCTTTATTGTATTACCTCCTTCTATTTTAATAATTGCCTCCTTGTATTTTTTTATTAACTCAAAGTTTCTTATATCGTAGGCTCTGAAAGAGGCATTTGAGATATTCTGTAATAAAACAGTCGCTGGAAGTTCAAGTGCAGAATTGCTTGCAACATTTTGTGACAATATCCTCAAGAAGGGGGGTAGTGAGAAGTTGAGTGATGAAGCTATTGAAGATACGCTTGAGAAGGTTTGTATTATTGTCAATGTTTGCTATATGCATTTTTCAGTTTCTCATTAAATCGGTGTTTAATGTTATTTTATTGTTACAGGTGGTCAAGTTGCTTGCTTATATAAGCGACAAGGATCTTTTCGCTGAGTTTTACAGGTTTGCCTTCATATCCAGGGATCAATTTTGGCTTTTAATATTTTTTGTTTGCTAATAGATGGTTTGTAGATTTTATCTCTTTGCTAAGCTCCCTTGCATTATGGAGTGACAAAAATTCGGATAACAAATTGTATGCTGTTTTGTTTGACTGTTCTGCAGGAAGAAGCTGGCACGGAGGCTCTTATTCGATCGCAGTGCTAATGATGATCATGAGAGAAGTATCCTTACAAAGCTCAAGCAACAATGTGGTGGGCAGTTTACTTCTAAGATGGAGGGCATGGTTAGTATGAGTGTCCCTATGTTTATTCCTTCAGAACGGTGGTTGCTCTGATGGTTTATACTTTCTATAAATTTGATCTGTTGATTACAGGTAACGGACTTGACATTGGCAAGAGAAAACCAAACCAGTTTCGAGGAGTATCTAGGCAATAACCCCGCTGCAAACCCAGGGATTGATTTGACCGTCACCGTTCTTACCACTGGTTTTTGGCCAAGTTACAAGTCATTTGACATAAATCTACCCAGTGAAATGGTAAATATCTATTGAATGTGTGTGTATATACTACATATATATATGCTGTCTAAAAGGAAAAAAGTTTGCTCCTGTGAAGCTAATCTATCGATTTATTTGCTTCAGGTGAAATGTGTTGAAGTTTTCAAAGGATTTTATGAGACGAAAACGAAACATAGGAAACTTACATGGATCTATTCACTAGGAACTTGTCACCTCAACGGAAAGTTTGATCACAAGCCCATTGAGTTAGTTGTGTCTACTTACCAGGTATCATTTGTATTCTCAGAAACTGTTGGTATGTTGTATCCTTTACAATGGCCTCTGATGCCGATTTTCTTATGTTTTATTTACTTTCAGGCTGCTGTGCTTCTGCTGTTCAACACAACAGACAAATTGAGCTACAACGATATCCTAACCCAACTGAACCTAAGCCATGAAGATCTAGTGAGGTTGCTTCATTCCTTGTCATGTGCGAAATACAAGATTCTTCTCAAGGAACCAAGTACAAAGACTGTTTCCCAGACTGATTCATTTGAATTCAATGCCAAATTCACCGACAGAATGCGCAGAATAAAGGTTTGTAACACATTGACACTCAAAACTTCATATGTTAATAATAATAATTATTATTATCTTAGAGTATTGACTTTTTGTGGTTTTGCATTACAGATCCCTCTCCCTCCTGTTGATGAAAGGAAGAAAGTTGTGGAAGATGTGGACAAAGACAGACGCTATGCGATTGATGCTGCGATTGTGAGGATCATGAAGAGCAGGAAAGTGTTGGGACATCAGCAACTTGTTTCTGAGTGTGTTGAGCAGCTTAGCCGAATGTTCAAGGTATGTTCTATCTATATATAAAAAAACATGTGGTGATACTCAGTGATGATTTGTTTCGGGAACCTGATTGGATATGTGATTTTGTTGCAGCCTGATATCAAAGCGATCAAGAAGCGTATGGAGGATTTAATAACGAGGGATTATTTGGAGAGGGACAAGGAGAACGCTAACATGTTTAGGTACTTGGCTTAGAGGCAAAAAAAAAAAAAACAACTACGTGGAGGTGGGTGGTTGGGGTCATGAAAGAAAAGGTAATGAATCGAAGCATCTACTCTGCTTGTATATGAGAATCTCTTTTGGATACTTTTACCCTAAGAAAAAACTGTCTTCAATTCTTTTGTTGGTTATTTCCATAACATTTGGTGGTGCTTTTTTTATTTCTCGGGATGGAAATGACCTTTTGGGGGATTTGTTTCTTGGATATGAATATGGAGATGGCTTAATGAATTTGTTGACCTCTGCTTTTATATATGTTCCTTCCTTTTGATAATTCTGTTTGGAATTTACTGCAATTTTGTGTGTAATTCTCTCATCTATAAATAGTACTAAGCGATAGCATCAAACTTGAAAAGCAAATTGACGTACGTGCTACCCGTAAAAAAATCCGGATGAAAAAGAGTTGAAGTGATTGAACTAGTGGATCTGGTGCAAAAATATTGAAACGGGTTCGTTATTGATTATATCTAAAGAGTTGGATGTTAAGCCCGAAACGAGAACTGCATGACTTCTCAAACAACGCAGTTTAGACATAACTAAACAAAAAGACTGAGGTGCGAGAATTATCATTGGAATCTATAACATTATTTGAGAAGTAAATTTGTTTAGTTGTCAACTTCTCCATGATTTTAGGTTATTTTGCTTATTTTCATGTTTAAATAATTTATTATATAATAAAAACGAAATTATGTTAATAATATTATATTTTTAGAAAATATGTTAATTCTTTTGTATTAGATTGTTATCTTAAAAATATATTTTTCAATTATTATTTTAGAAGTAATTTTGCTTAGTTGTCAACTTCTCCATGATTTTAGGTTATTTTACTTATTTTCATGTTTTAATAATTTATTATAAAATAAAAAAAAGTTTATGTTAATAATATTTTATTTTTAGAAAATATATTAATTCTTTTATATTAGATTGTTATCTTAAAAATATATTTTCAATTATAAAATCTAAGTGAATTTGCTGATTAGTTTGTAACTTTCTGTGATTTAGGTAATCTATACTATTATTTGTGAATGATTTTTTGCAACAGAGCTCTTACGTTGAAAGTTAAAGCGGTTAATATCATTTATATCCTTAATGAATAATTGAATTTTTTAATATAATTAAACATAAATAAAAAACGAATTTCAATGATTTCACAAATATTTATTTATTAAATATAAATTAAAATCCTTATTTTTTTTATATTATGTGATAAAGTCTTTATCAACCTTGAAAAATAATTATATTTGTTAACATATAACTAATTCTAAATTAAAAAATGAATCTCATGAATTTGATAATTATCTTTATCTAAATTTTTTATATAGTGTTATAAAGTCTTTTTTAACGTTGAAAAATAATTCTACTTGTTAATATATAATTAATTATGAAAAATCAGTTCGCAAAGACTTTACGTATAGATAATTTATATTGTGTTATCCAAAACATTATTAAAGATAATTTTTTATACTTTTTTGTTATGTCTAAAAATGATATTAATTTATTACTAAATGTTTTAAGTTTATGAGTATTTTCAAATATAAGTTGTGTAATGAAAATTATTTATATGATATATAGAAAGAATTTCTTTAGTTTATTATTAAATATTTTGAGTCTATGAACAATAATTTATTATAATTTACATAAATTGATTATATATTTATTTATAGATATTAGTAAAATTATTAAGCCCGCAAGTGCGGGCAAAACACCTAGTTTAGTTTTATACAACAATCAATAAACCATTCACATAATGCAATAGTTATATACATAATTGAGAAATGAAACTAGACTTGGGCTTTTATTTTAGTAGGCCCAAGTTCATGTGGTGAATCATGCGCCAGGTGATTGATAGTGAGAGAAACCGAGTCTAGCTCCCTCGTGTCTGCCTCAGATCAAAACCAGCTCTCCGTGTTGGTCTCTCGTTTTCTCAAAGTCCTCGAAAATGCTGGCTAGACTCGCTGCGAAGCGTCTTCTCGAGATCCGCCAAGCTTTCCGCCAACCATCATCTCAAGTATCCTTCAATTTTAATTGACTGCATCCTTCTTTAGCGTTTTCCCGATCTCATCATCGGTTTCGTTTTGCATCTTTGCAGGCGTCTCGAAGCTTCTCGACAGCCTTGAACTACGTGAGTCTTCGTTGATATCTATGCTCTTTTTAAAAAAAATGCAATCTGATTTTTGTTGATTGTGATTAAGCACCTGGATTCTCCTGACAACAAACCGGATCTTCCATGGGAGTTTTCTGAGGCTAACAAATCTAAGGTCACTCTCTTAACCCCTTATTCATTACTCTGTTAATAATGACGAAAATATTTACATTTTGTTGATACGGTTATTCTATCCGAATTAGTCTTTTTTTTTTAAATAAAAAAAAGAAAGTAAAATTGCCACCTTGGTTATAGAATTTTCGGGTGGATGGTTTTAAGAACATTATAAATGTGGGAATAGTTTACGAGTTTACTCCAGATATGCTTTCATCACCCTTCTTTTACATAAAGCATAGAGAGTTAAAGCAATGTTTGTTTGGTCTGATTAGGCTGAGTTAGCATTCCTAGAAACGATAGTTAAGGCAAAGAATGGGAGTTTCTGAACATTCTTTGCATGAGCTATTTAGGAACTGATATATAAAGAAGAAAGACTGTCAGGGGATAAAAGTAAACTGGTTTTGGCGGAGTAAAATTAGTAAAATACTTAATAGTTATCTCAGACCAGAACCAGCTCTGAATATGTTTAACATGCTTTCATTACTCTTTGTTACATAGAACAGAAGATGGTTAAAACGAATGGGTTTGTTTGGTCCTGACTAACGTAGTCCTTTTAGCTTCTGATCTGGCGTCATGATCCCTTGACTTAGGATTCCCTAGAAAGAATTGGGAGTTTTTGATCATTTTTTGAATTGGCTGTTTAGGAACTGATATAAGAAGGGAGAAAGACCGTTGGGAGATTAGTAAACTGGTTTTGTGGAGTAACTAAATACTAATCTATTCGTGTGTATTTGGTTCCCTTTTAATGCTTCTGTCATGTCTGGCTGCAGTAATTTTGCAAATAAAGGAAATGTGTTCCCCATGCATCCAAGATTTTCTGATATTTTGTTCAAACCCTCTAGGTTAAGGAGATACTCTCTTACTATCCAGCAAATTACAAGCAGTCTGCAGTGATCCCTCTTCTTGATCTTGCCCAGCAACAGCATGGAGGCTGGCTCCCCGTTTCTGCAATGAATGCCGTACGTTCTTGTTTTAAGTATTTTTTCAGCTGTACTCTTACTTAATGAAATGATTGTAAAGTGTGTCTATAATTATATGTTTTTGCCTTTTTCGCTTTTTTTTTATTGTCGCTGCTAGGGGCCATTTCTTTCTGGAATACAATATCCGTTGATATTATTTTACCAATATGACAGTACACCAAAATTTTGCAGGTTGCTAAAGTTATAGATGTGGCTCCTATCCGTGTTTATGAGGTTGCAACTTTTTACTCCATGTTCAACAGGGCAAAGGTAAGACGTACAGTACTTACTACCACCCATCAACTCAAGTCTCTACTATACTCGTCAAAACATACATCTCACACTCATTTTTCTTTTGTGCTCTTACAGGTCGGAAAGTACCACCTGTTAGTTTGTGGCACAACACCTTGCATGATCCGTGGTTCACGAGATATCGAATCAGCTTTGCTAGACCATTTGGGAGTGAAACGCGGTGGTAAAGCTCTATAACTGACCTTATGCACAAAGTCATTATACGGTTCCTCAGTCATAACGAACTATGCATTTAATTATGTATGTTGCAGAAGTCACAAAGGATGGTTTGTTCTCTGTTGGAGAGATGGAATGCATGGTATGGATTACTTATCACCTCTTACTTTCCTGAAATCGTAAATTCTGCACAACCATCGCGGAGATTAATACTTTCTAGTTGTCTTTATTTGGTTTGTTGACAGGGATGCTGTGTTAATGCGCCCATGATCACTGTTGCAGATTACTCCAATGGATCAGAAGGATATACGTATAACTATTTCGTACGTCCAATAACTTTTCTTTCCCCCCCCCCCCTCCATTATCTTCCTTCGTTTATGCTGTATAGGACGACAACGAGTATAATCGTATTGACACTGTCTTAATGCTACAATACACAGGAAGATGTTACACCTGAGAAAGTTGTAGAGATCGTTGAAAAGCTGAGAAAAGGAGAAAAACCACCGGTAAGACATTAAACTAGCTCATTTCATTTGAATACTTTCATGTTACTTTTCTCGTACTATCACATTGAATGGTTAAACTAACCAGTCTTATAATGGTCTAACGCGTTTCCTATCAGGTTCTGGTTTTTAAGTTCTAATTTGGTTTTGTATAGCAAAAGATGTCAGCGTGGAACTCAAAACCCAAATCCAACTTCTGATAATGTAATCTTTTGTTTCAGCATGGAACCCAAAACCCGAAGAGGATCAAGTGCGGACCTGAAGGAGGAAACACGACACTGCTCGGCGAGCCAAAGCCACCACAGTTCCGTGATCTTGACGCTTGCTAAGCTAAGTTCTTTAAGCCGATTGTTTTTATGTGGTTCAATAACGCAAAAGGCTACAATGAATGTTTTGAAGCCTATAGCATCAAACTGAGTTTGCATACTCTTTGTAGTCTGTTATGTTGATTTTGAAATTTAGACCCCATTTTACAAATGACTAAAATGAGTTCTCTTTTGTTATTTATTATCTCACTTCCAAGATTCCGGTTTATGGGAAAATGGTTGTAATAAAGACTTGTACGTGTTTCTATTGAAGCCAAGATTTTCCAAACAATTTCGTGAAAATTTTTAGATGGTTCTTTTGTTCCCAAATAAATGGTTTTCGTAAAGGGAACTAATGATATTATTTGATTATTTTGTGACCACATACCAATTCGTACAAATAAATAATAATACAACGGTTAACAAATTCAAATACTTTATTTTTTCTTCCAATTTGTACATAAACTCAACAAGGTCCCACACACTTCCCACTACTACTACTAAAACACCCCTTCAAGCTCCTTCATCAACCTCCCACTAAAGTCATGAAAACAAAAAAGTTGCTTTCATCAAAGTCCACCTAAAGTGATAACAAACCATATTTAATCAAGTGAGCTTTTTGACGAACTCCCTTCTACTGCAAATCCTACATCGATTGCATCTCCATTTACCTTTCAATCATACCATACAAGTGGGTGTGGAAGGGAGATGAAGCACCAAGAAACCAGAGTCATGAGTTGTAATAGTAGAAAGTAAAGCCATGTGGACCACGTTGGATTGCTGTACAAACCCTTACTTGCACAAAAATCCTACTGTGGAGGAGGATTGGTCTCTGGTTTAACCACTGACGATGTATCTGGAGGCTGAGAATGGTAAATAGCCATAGCCAATGAGATTGGCATCATACAAAGAGCCTTGGATTGAAGAAGCTGCATTGCTGCTCCAACATTTTCTTCCATCAATTTAGCCACTTGACGTTCAGTCCCATCGTTTGACCATTTCTCCCACGCAGGTTGTGGTGTCCTTCCACCCTCACTCGTTTCATCCTATCGGGAGATTACAATAATAAGTTTTAAATAAAAATAATCCATTTACTAAAAAGTTTTTGATGTTTTCTTTTTTTTTTACCTCAACTGATGATGACAAAGGCATATCAGTAACAAGTGGAGCAACCGCACCGGCTCCACCAAGACGACTCATGCTTAAAACCTACCAAAAGTTGACCAAAGAGAGACATATAATCATCATTCAAAGAGATAACCTTTATCCCATAAAAATAAAAATTTTACTTTTTCTTTTTCAGATGAGCATGGACACAAGAAACACAGAAAAAAGAAAAAAAAGATTTATTATATTATCAGAAATACATCATTGCATTCTCCACTATCTTTAAGCAACGACTACATTTTGATATTAAGAAGCGTTTGTTCTAAGAGATTATATTATAATGTGAGCATGATGATGATTACCCTTTTTGTTTTAATAAGGTATTTTAATTATAAACCGTGATTAGCCTCTCTATATGACAAAACAAAAAGTGTTTAAAAGAGAGACTAAGTGCCAAAGAAAAAACAAAAGCATTTTGGACTTGTTTATTTTTTACCACATTAATAAATCAAGATTGAAATTTGGGTTGAAGGGTAGGTGATGGTAGGACCATAACTAAGACCAGAAACCCATTTGGAGAATTTAACATAACAAAGTTACTTCAAAGACATTAGATCTCTAATCCTATAAACAGACAGGAAAGAACAAGAACGGCTAGTTCGAGACTGGTTATATACCTTAACTTGGAGCCTGAGGAACTTTACATAGTCGACAATCTCATCGATCATAGCAGCTCTATCTGTCTGCAAATAAAGACAACAGAACCAACAAGTGTTAAAACTTCAAGAAATGAGACATGTTCCAAAGCCTAGACAAATTATTTACAGGTGAGGCTCCAAGTTAAAGATACAGACCTTGTTAACAGTAGGAACAAGTTCTTGAAGCGCCCTGATCCGTTCAGCTATTCTTTCCCTACGCAGCTATAACAAGAAATAAAGCTTTAAGCTTACCCCTCCATAAAACACACAAAAGAATTGAAGTAAAGCGTACCCTTTCAGCGATGCTATGTGGATCAGTAGCTTGACCACGCCTAGCTCGAACCCTAGGACGGATTGACGTAGGCTGATGTGGCGCTGCTGGAGCTGGCTGTTGCATAGGCTGACCATGGAATACCTTCCAACAACACACAAAAATGTAAAAATACATGAAAAATAACATAAACACTTAACACAAAAAATTGTATCCATAACTTCGACTCTCAAAAACACTCTTATACAGTCACATGAACAAAGAAGTTTAACTTACAGGTCCTTTCATAGAAGAAGAAGAAGATCGAATTCCACTTGCATGACCACCACCTGCAGGTCTAAGAAAGTTAGGTCCTTTGCTTTGGTCAAGACTCAACCCTAGAGGAAACATCTGATTGTGAAACCCACTTCCTCCTCCTAACCCACCACCCATGTGACTTCCTTCCTCACCGGAACCCAACTGCAGCATCATCGGCGGTGCTCCTCCTCCGCCTAACCCACCGTCGGATGAAGAAGCTGAGAAGTTGGGGAGACCGAGGATTTGGTCGAAGAAGTCATCAGAAGGTGTTTGGTCGGAAAGGTTCTCATGAGGGTTGTTACTAGCCATTTAGGTTTGAGTTAAAACAATATCAATTCTTTTTGTTGACTCGGTGAATTATGAGTAGCGAGTTCGAGTCTTGAAAGAGAAAAAATCTACATGAGAAAGCTAAAAGGAAATTGTTTGGTGAGTGATAAAAGGAAATGAATGAGGACGAACAAGACAGAGACGAGAAAGGAGCAGAACAAAAGTGGGAAACTTTATGCTCTGTTTTTATAAAATTTATCTTTTTCTGTAAAGGGCCTTGCTTTCTCAAATTATTTCACTTTTGCCATTGTCTGGTTTACCTTCCAGAGACAATACAAGTGCAAGTAGATAACAAAATTTGGTATAAATTTGTAAAATAATTAATTTATGTAGAGTCCAAAAAACCTACTATTTGAATGGAATAAAAAAAAAAAAAAAATCATTGGAACTCCAATTTGTATGCAAGGAAATTTATTGTAGTTATAAAACACTCATGATATAAAAGGTTCATGAATGAGATGCAATGAGATGGAAATAAATTTCATTTTTCATAATTTCCTCCATTTTGTTCAGCTCCTTAGATTGTAGACTATCTTTTCTATAAAGCTTATCAAAGCAAGATTGACAAACTTCATCTTATTCCTCAGAATCCTCAGAACAAACACACTTGCAACAATCATTAATTTATTAATATATATTTTAGACCATCCTAATATGTATTTAACTTTGCTGCCATAACCATAACCTTTGTCCTAAGTTTCTCATCCAGATTATTATTCAATGAAATCAAACTCTTTTTGTTATTAAAATTTCACTGTAACACTTAGATCTTGCATAGCGTGCAGAGACACAACTAAACTATGGTAGTCATTTATATTGAAACAAAGCTTGAATCAAAGCAACCAAGGAGATTTTTTTTATTATTTTCACCTCTAGTCCTCCTCTTGCTTATTCTCCAATTTGTCCCAAATTTCTAATATGCTCAAGTTTCTTCACGAATTTGACCTAAAACTTTTGAATTTGCTAAAATATCATTAAATCATAACATACCAATGTGGTAAAAGTCATTGTTTGTATACATTGTTGTAGTGTATATGTATGTAGTCATATATATACATGATACTGTGTACAAAAATTTAACTATCCACATGTACAGCGATTGACATGTACATTAGTCAATTTAGACAAATGATTCATATGTACAAATTGTAATTTTCTTTACCAACCCTTTTTTTTTGGGCCGAAACCATAAATTATTTAGTTCGTAACTTAACAAGAAAAACAATTTTAGTTTCTAAAAATAAAACAATCACTACTAAATTTTACAAAAGAAATAAAACTACAACTTTAAAAATTATTTGGTATGTACACGATACTATGTACACAAATTGTTTGTTATCCACATGTACAATGATACATATATACACCAAGTAATGTGTACGAAAACAAAACTAAACATGAAGGATTGAAAGTGGAAATAAAAGAAATTTTTGCTGTAACAATCAACTGATCTCGATCTCTTCAAGCTTGCACCATAGATCTCTATTTCTTCAAGCTTGGTATTCAAAAAAGAGATGAGTTTGTCATCATCCTGTACGATGATGTGGTTTACGTCTCCATCGTTTTCCTCAAGGTTCTTGTTGTCTATGCCATCTTCGTCTATGCCATTTATATCATCGTCTCTGTCATTGTCACTGTTATCGGCTATGTCGCTGCCGTCACAGTTGACATCTCTGTTGTCATCGTTATCTCCGCCACCATCATCTAGTTTTCATTGTTTGTACCGTTGTTTATCTCTCCGTCTTCTTCTTCTATGTCTTTGTATCTTTAATGTATTTTTATTAATAGACAAAGAAAAAACTACTTAATGTTTTATAAATTAAAGATCTAACAATTGAGATTTTATGTAGATATATGTCATATTAAGTTTGGTCTAAGAAATAAAATAAATTAATGTTTTTCTTCTTTTAAGTTACATTGAAATGAGAGTGAGCGTTTTAGTTATTAGATTAATTACAAATTGACTACTTTATTTAGAAAAATAAAGAAAGTTATTAGAGAAAAGTGTCTTGATAGCAGAATGTGTCTTTTTATGTTAATAAAAGGTGAAAACTGCCTCTAAATATAATTCTTTCGTAAAATATTACCAGAAATATTATCAAACTCCCACTTTATTCCAATCTCTGTAGTTGATGACCCAACCGTGTTTTCCATCAACCTTTTCTTGAAAGTGATCATTATATAGCTTGTCCTCAATTTCCATTCTATCAAACGCTAACATAAAATTTAAAGCTCTTGTTAAACATGAGGTATGTTGAATTCTATAATGTTTTGCAGTCCAAAGACAAGCTCTCTCTTGTAATTCTTGTTGACTCATGGCGAGCATCACATTAGTAGTTTATCTTATGACTTCATTAAAAACCCTTTCCTTGCAGATTCGAAGATGTTTCTTCAGACATGAAGTACCATTAGATGATCAGCAACACATTTTGAAATTTTAAGAAAGTTTGAATCACCTGAAAGTCTTCATTTAGATCTTTAAAGTCTGCTCTTGTCTCTTGAATACACAATGACTCACTCTGTTTATTTAATGCAAAAAGAACCAGATGGTGTTATCATTGCTTCTTACTGATATAACATCCATTTCCAAATAAAAATCAAGCGATACATTATTGAAAACTGAAAAATACAAGAATGTCAAAAACAAACAAATGATATAGGGCTCAGCGAGCTTGCAGAATGTTATATGTTTAACGCTGTGACACAGATTCCGCAGAAAAGAGGTACTTGACACGGGAGAGAACGGAATCATGAGCAGGATCATAAGGGTGGTCCTTGGAAGGGATCTCCAGGATTGCAGGAACTGGCTTGTTGTAGCTATCCACCAAGAACCTGATCATATTGGCAACCTACACGCATATGGCGTTTTCTCATCATACTATTAAAAGAAACAGACTTTGAAGCATCGAGAGTTGGAAGAAAGAACTTACATATTGGCTGATGAGGATGATAGCAATGTCATCCCTCGATGAGAATTCCTTGAAAGCATCCTCAATTTGTCTCACAGTTGTCTCTAAAAGACACAAAAAATCAATTAATTATATAATTCTACAGAATTTGAAGCTCGGAAAGTTATCTCCTACCAAGGACACATGAAATTGACTTGATGGAAAGATTCAACTAACTTGATAATCACAGGGATAACATTTTTGAGATAAGTGACATAACTTGAAATGATATATATTTGCTAGAGATGATTATGAGTTACAAGAGCGTACTTGAATCGACGATGAGGTAGTTAGTCTTCCTCCTGATGTCAACATTACCAACTCCAGCCATCAAGAATCCAACCACGGTGTCCTGTTCACAACATTTTACACAAGTAAGAGATTGCTTTGGGTTACAAACAACTCCGCAACCATTCGGTGGAAACAATGTCAACAGTAACAGCTATGGCACAAGGGAAGAACTTGCAAGTCAAGTCTAAGACATAGTTTCGTGGTAAAACCACAGAGTAAATCAAATCCTTATAGAAGAGTTTAAAGACGAAGTCTACTCCTTATTCCTGATTCGTGCAACACGTGGAATCAACATCCAATGATCACAGATCAGCTTCAAGATCGAGAAGAAACACAGAGATACAACAAAATGCTATCTACAGCTTGAACACGAATACCAACAAAACAAAGAATTTAACTTTCACAAACAACACATTAATGTAGTTCAGATCATCACATCTCAGAGATTCAAATACTCAACAAAGAGGATCCAAACATTAACAATTGATTTATTGAATAAAACAAACAAAACTCAAATCTCCCATCGTCATCAGAGGGAAAAAGGAGATTACTTTGGTGATGGGTTTACCTCATCAGCGATCATGGCGATGAGGGCAGAGTTGCGAGCAGGTATCGAAGCTCTCCCAGCCATATTTGATTCAAACTACATACAGACAACAACAACAACAAAAGAACCCTAATCAATTGGGTAAATCGGAATTGGGTTAAGAAACACTAATGAATTCCTGATCTCAGATCGGAAAATTAAGCTTCGAAGATGAAGATTTCACACATTACCTTTCTCTTCTCTCTGCTTCTCCTCCTCCGATTTGATTGATGAGGGATTCGTAAGCACTAACTTACAAAGTCAGAACGCACCTCAATTTACTATTGTACCCCTCCTTTCGACACATAATAACGAAACTACCCCCTATTATAATAATTGCTGAAACTGGCAAAACTGGTTAGGTTGCTTGGTTACTGCGTCGAAGGAGCTCATAGGATATGTTTAGTTTACGAGTATAAGGGGAACTTAGACCAATGGCTTCACGGTGATGGGTAGGGGTGGGCATAATTACTTGATATTCGCCTTGTACTCGCTAATAGTTAATTCTTAAAGTCGAGTACTTATCTTATATATTAAAACAGAATTCATAACTTGACTTCATGTGTGATTTTTTAAATTTTAGACTTTTTACTAGAAATTGATCACATAAAACTTTTGTATCATAAATTATATCAATCATTAGTACATCTTAATATTAGAAGCAATTTAATGTCGACATCAATACATTGAAACAACTCATTAACGTCTCATAAATTTTACTCTATACTGAAATAATCTAATATCAACTTACGTAAATTCTATGGCTTTTAATGAATATCAAGTTAATGTCATTTGCTTCTGAATATGGGTCTGTAACTTAGATTACAACTAACCATTTTTCATGTGTTTGCACATCCACTTTGAAATCGATATGTATGATGATNCATTGAAACAACTCATTAACGTCTCATAAATTTTACTCTATACTGAAATAATCTAATATCAACTTACGTAAATTCTATGGCTTTTAATGAATATCAAGTTAATGTCATTTGCTTCTGAATATGGGTCTGTAACTTAGATTACAACTAACCATTTTTCATGTGTTTGCACATCCACTTTGAAATCGATATGTATGATGATCCCCTATATATTAATCCTGAAGCATTCATAAATGCACAACCTTGGAGAGCATGCTTACGTGTCAAGCTCACAGAGCTTCTCAGCCTTAATCTTTTAATGGACCAACTTTGCTAGGAATGAAATAATGTAACATTTAATTTCTTGCATTTAGGACTATAATATATAGACATTTTTATGGGACCAATTATGTTAGGTATAAAACAATATATTTTCTTTCCTTAAATAAAAGCTACGGAAT